CCGGCCGGGTGCACTCCGACGATCAAGTTAATACTTGACGATTCCCTCCCCGATAAAGGATCCAATATGGGATTTATGGCGTACCTTTTTAAGTTGACCGATGACTTCTTTTATAGAAGGATTTATTTTCCTTATCCATGCCAGATTGTCAAAATCATTGGATAGGACAGTAATTGTTATTTTTATCTCTTTAAGTTTATCTATTCCCTTTGAACCATGTTAAGTGAAATTCTTATTTAGTCGAATATTCCCTATATATATATATATATATATATATATATATATATATATATATATATATATATATATATATATATATACACACACATTTATATGAATCTACTTTTTCCTTTCATTCAATGCTCATATTTAACAACGCAAACTGTTTTTCGGAAAAATTAGGGTACTTTTTCCTTTCATTCAATGCTCGTATTTAAGAAAGTAAACTGTTTCCTGAAAAATTAGGTGAACTTTTTTATTTAGAGAGAAAATTAGGAGTATAAGTTCTCTCAACGGATTCTCATACAACTGTCCGCCTCCCCCTCAATTTATTGCTCCGCTTTTCTTAATTAAATAAATCACCGTTTTCTTCATTTCCATCAATCAAAATTTTTTCTACAAATAATCAATTAGTAACATATTTTGAGTAATTAAAATTTTAAATTTTTTATGAAGTCAAATGCGTCGTCATTTTGCACATTTATTAGTAAAAAGCAAAATTTTAAGAATAAAGATTAAAGTTTAAGGGTTTATAATTTCTTAATTAAATAATTCTTAGTTATTAGATATAAATACAAATATTAAATTAAAATTAAAATTCATATTTTAAGTAATTAAAAATAATTGTAATTCACAGGTGAACAACATAAACTATTAAAAGATAAAAAAATAAAATAAAATAAAATTAATTGAGATTGTAAGGGAATTGATAGAGAGAAATTATATTCCATGTGCATTTACTTGAACAATATAGAGATAATTAATTAAAAATGCTCGTAGAAGTCAAAACTCCATGGATTAATTTTTAACCGACTCCTTGCAACGCTAAATTCGTAAACTTTGTTGTTGAAAATTTGAAGGTAGCAGTGATTAATCAAGATATATATCGTGTCAACGCCATTCCTTTCATTTCTGTAAATCTCTCTCTCTCTCTCTATATATATATATATATAGACATACATTTTATATGCGATAGCTTTCTCAATTAATCTCATGTACTTTTTCCCTTCATTCAATGCTCATATTTAAGACCGCAAACTCTTGCCTGAAAAATTAGGTGAGCTGTTATTTAGAGGGAAAAATATTCTTAAATCTCTCTAAGCAGTTCCCACTTGGCTTGGATTTCAAAACTTTATCCTTTTATTGAGTGACCAGACCGGCGACACTACACAACATACGTCACCAATTGAATTATTAAAGCGTTAATTAAGTCATTTTTTTTTCAGCCTTTAATAATACGGTGTCATGACATGAAAATGTCATACTCATAGATCTACTATGATCACTAATTTTGTCTTTTTGATATTTCAATTATTATCTTTTATTTTTCTTAGAGGGTGACTAAGTGAATTTAAATACTCTTCGACTATGTTTGACATGTATATAATTGAAATTTTAGAATTAGTATTGAAATTGATGAAAATGAAGAAAAATTCCATACCGCCAAATACAACATACATAAATTCATTTTTTTAAAGATTAAAATCATAAAAATCCCTCTATTTTTAATTTTTGATCATAAAACCCCAACCAATTTTTAAAAACCCCAACACTATTGCAAAATTATCACATTGCTCCAATGATATTCAATTCCTTTTTATCTTTGGCTTTTATCTTTATTTGAATTCTTGTTGGTCATGTTTTAGTTATTTAATAAAATTGCATTATGAATTTATATAATAATTAATTTAATTTAGATTTAATTAAAATAATCTTTTGTAAATTACACGATTTTAGTACAAATTTTTTGTCTATTATGTATATATATATATATATTTTGAAAAAGACAACTGACTCTTTCTTTTTTTTCTTTTTTTTGTTATTAAGATTCACCGTTAAAAATCACTTACCACAATAACTATTTGTAATTATAAATTATGCACAAGAATCAGAGATCCAAATTATAGAGAGACCTTTATAGAGAGACCTTTGGATGCAAAAGTAAATCCAAAGTCCGACACTATATATATATATATTTTGAAAAAGACAACTGACTCTTTCTTTTTTTTGTTATTAAGATTCACCGTTAAAAATCACTTACCACAATAACTATTTGTAATTATAAATTATGCACAAGAATCAGAGATCCAAATTATAGAGAGACCTTTATAGAGAGACCTTTGGATGCAAAAGTAAATCCAAAGTCCGACACACCATGTGAATATGAAAAGTCCATCAAAAGCAAAGACCAAAATTGTTACTGTATTTTGCTTTTTAATTGTCAAGATGCTCATGTAATAATTAAAACTTCAACTTAATTTTTTCAATTACAATAATTTCAAGACGCTCCTTTAAATAATAATAATAAAAAAAAAACAGAGAGAACAAATAAAGTATCTTGCTGTATAGACCAAATTTGGGTGAAATTTTTAGATAATGGAATTGTCACCAACTTTTTAAATTAAATGTTATTACTTAATGGAATTTATAAAATAAACTTTTTATTGTAGATGATTATATGAACATCGTCAAAAATAAATTCAACAATAAATAAAATATCTAGATTTGCCTGTAACAATAGTCATGAATGAATGAAAGAAAGACTTCATCAGTCGCGCCTTTTTATTATGATCTTTAATAATATAATATCATAACAAGAAATAATGTTTTTTTATTTGTCATATATATATATTTTTTTCCCTAATTAGTACTTACACACATATGTCTTTTATGATATTTGAATCCCTGACCTCCCTTTGGAAGGTAAGAGGTAGATACCGCTGGACACTGGCCCGTTGGTTCATTTGTCATTTTTATCTCCTTTGGTTTTTTTTTTTTTTTTTTTTAAATATACTTATTATTAAACAAAAAATATATGAATGTCAAAGTAGTAATAACATAAATCATGCCTTGACGTTTTGATAATTGTGATGAATACAAAATTAAGATTTAAAACTTCAATTAAAAAACTAGAGATAAGTTTCTAATGGGTTAAAGGATTCTAAAAAAATGAATTTTTGTTTAGTTGTATAAGAATTTAAATTGCAATTATCATAATGAAATATTTCTCCTAAATCTCTGAGTCACTCTGGAATACATTGCAACTGCTTTTTACCAAAAGCATCTCCGACAACAATAATGTGTTAGTGCGCCAAGATTCATTAATCATGAATATTAATGACGTCCTTTGACCTTTTTCTTTATTTCTTTATTTGTAACAATTCCCAACTCACTCTCACATCTTGTCACTGAAAAGATTCACAAGATTTAAAAATTATTATTATTTTAAAAAATAACTAATTCCCATTTTGTTTTTAAAATTTAACCTTGAAAAACACTTTACAAGTTATTTTGAGAATATGCAATGTCCCTATCTTGACTGTATTTTTTAGTTTTAGATTTTAGGTATTAAACTTCATTACCTATTCATATTTAGAGCTACTGTTATTCTGAAATGCATTTTATATTACTATGTCGTTAATAAAAAGTTAACTACCTTCAGTTTTTAATTGAAATTTGGTTAGTAAGTTATTCATTTTTATATATATATATTTTTTACTTAAATGAGAGATGTAATTTCATTCAAGCTTCTCATAATTTTCCATTAAAACTATTATCCAGCCTCTCCAAATTTATAGTCAAAATCAAAATTATATTTCTAAGAATTACATGATCTCTTTTTAAAAAAATTCATACTTTAGAAAAAAAGAACTGTAAATTTAAGTTATCATGTAACAGAGCTAATATAATAAGAATTTATTACAATTACTAACGTGATAAAAAGACTTTTAAATTTTACAAAATTATGTCTCTTGATTTTGTCCAGCAAAAATAATCCTAAGAGACTCTTAATTTTCATGGTAAATTAAAGTGAAATGCACTTAATTAAAATTTATTCCTTTGAGAAAATTTTTATTTACTTTGAATTAGTATAATTAATTTAAAATTATGAATTTAACATAAGATACAACTCCCTCTGTTCTAAATTAAAAATCGTTTTTAGAGGTTGTGACCCACAAACAAAATTAAACGTCTTTGGAAATGTGATTTGTGTTTAATTTGGAATAGTGGGAGTAAAATTTACTATTTGGTCTTAAAAGCTGGTTAGATAACTTTGTCAGTGTCATGTCAAATCGTGGAGTGTGATGATGACTGAGGTGAAAAATCTGTATTCTTTGTTTTTCGTTCTAAGCAATAATTACTTTACTATTTGCATCTCTCTCTCTGTCTCACACACACACACACACACAATCTCTGTTCCCTCTCTTCTCACGGTGTCGCCATCATCCATCCACTGATTCTTCACTTTTGGTTCATCCATTTTCTTTCTCTTGGTCATCGAAAATCAAAGCTAATTGGTGCATTTGAATTTGGGATATGTATAATTCAGAGGTATGTCTTTAAATCTCTTCTTTAGTTTCCTCAACAACAACAACAACCTTCTCTCTGTATTCATTTCTATTGATTTCTTTCTTTGTTTTCTTCCTGTGTGTGCAATTTCCCACATCAATTCTGTTAGTTTTTTCTGTTAAATTTTAATTAGGCTCTCTCTTACAACTGAATTTGCATCTCTCTTGTGTGTTTCCTTGTGAATCTTCACTTTTCTTTCCCAAAAAAAATTCAAAAAAATTCTTCACCTCTGCTTGTCATCCAAAATCATACTCTGCATTTGTGTTGTAGTCTCTCCCTTTCATTTCTTAGCTCTCCTTAAATAAAAAAAAAAAAAAAAAAAAAAAAAAAACTAGTTTTTTTATATTTCTATTGTGGTCATTTCCTTTATATTCTGTATTGCATCGTCTCCTTCAAGAGAGAGAGAGAGAGAGAGAGAAAAAAAATTGAAAATGGGCGACATCTTTAGTGCTGTTGTGGGAACCATGTTGGAGCTCATCAGAGACCTTTGCTACAAATCCATCGGGCGTCAATTTGGTTATTTGGTTCACTGCAAGACGAACATTAAGGATTTTGCAGATGAAGTTGATAAACTCAGCCTTACCAAGGCAAGGGTCCAGATAAAGGTTGTTGCAGCCGGGAACAATGACGAAGACCTTCACGATGATGTTTTGGGGTGGCAGAGGAAAGTGCAGAGCATGGAAGATGACAAGAGCAGATTACTCCAAAGCAAAGATAATCTCAAGTGTCTTGATGTTTGCTCACGGTACCGATTGGGTAAGGAAGGAAAAAAAGAAGAAGCCTGATGTTACCAAGCTTATAGATGATGGCAACAATTTTGTTGATGTTGGATACCAACGTCCTCTCACTCGTATTTGGCACAAGACATACAGCATAAACTATGAGAGTTTTCAATCCAGGGGGTTTGTTTTTGAAGAGATCATGAAGGCACTAAAAGATGATGGGACTTATAAGATTGGGATACACGGAATGCCTGGTGTTGGAAAGACAAGGATGATGGAAGAAGTTGCTCAACAAGCCGAAAAAGAGAGCCTGTTCGATGAGGTCGCCCAGATTGTTGTCTCCCAGAATCCAATTTTGACAGATATTCAACAAAAGCTTGCCAAAAGTTTGAATCTGGAATTGAACGAAGAGCTTGAAAATGCGAGAAAGGCGCGAATATGCAATAGATTGAGAAATGGTAAAAAGATTCTTGTAATGATAGATGATGCTTGGAATAATGAAATTAAGTTGGAGGACATTGGAATACCCGCCGCTGATAATCATACCAAGGGCTGCAAGATTATTTTGACCTCCCGATAAAAAGGTGTCCCTTCGGATGGCGGAAAAGGAGTTCGAAATTGGGGTTTTGTCAGAACATGAAGCATTGGACTTATTTAAAAAAACGGTGGGAGATTTTACAGACTTTGGTGAACTGCATTCTGTAGCTGAAGAAGTGTGTCGTGAACGTGATCGTTTGCCGTTGGCAATAGTTACAATTGGAGCAGCATTGCGGTATGAAGAAAATGATGGGTGGAATAATGCACTTGAACAATTGAAACATTCGAAGGCATATAATATTTCAGGAGTGTCAGACAAACTGTATTCGGGCATACAGTTGAGCTACAAGTATCTGAAGCTGAAAGATCAGCGGTTATGCTTTCTGCATTATTGTTTGTTTCTGGGAGATGTTGAAATTTCTATTGATGACTTGGCAATATATGGGCTGGGAACGAGATTTCTTGAAGGCACAGACAGAGAATCAATGGAAAAAGCAAGACAGAGAACACCTACGTTGATTGGTACCCTCAAGAGATCTAACTTCTTGTTAAATGGCAGGAATTAAAACTTTGTCAAAATGCACGATGTCATTCGAGATGTGGCAATATCAATTGCATTAGAAGAGAAAGATGCCATGTTTCTAGTGAAAGCTAGTGTCCGAAAGTGGATAGACGAGGATGAATATAAACAATGCAAAGCAATCTCATTAAGGCTCAACGATGATTGTGTGCTACCCGATGATTCAGAATGTACAGAAGTATGCACCTTAATGTTGGAATTCCGTAAGCTTTCATCAGAAATTCCAAGTAGCTTTTTTAAAGTGATGAAGAAGTTTAAAGTTTTACAATTGTGTAATATGCAGATTTCGGAACTACCGTCGTCACTTAAAAATCTTAGGATGTTACGGCTATACAACTGTAAATTGGTGAATGTAACTTTTCTAAAGGAATTTAAAAAACTTGAGATACTATGCATTGAAGATTCTGATATCAAAGAACTGGCTCTAGAAATAGGACAATTGACTAGTTTGCTGTTGTTGGATGTGAAGTACTGTTACGAGCTCAAGATCATTCCCTCGGGTGTCATATCAAGTCTATTCCAGCTTGAGGAATTGTACATTCCAGACAAGTTTGGCCAATGGGTGGTTAAAGACAATGCAAGTCTTAATGAACTAAACTCATTGAAGCGCTTAATTAGTTTACCAGTTTTTGTGCCAGATGTTGTGTTACTGCCGCCCCTCACTGAGCCTCTGTTTAAGTCGTTGATCAGATTTCAAATATCCATTGGGAGCTGTTTTGACTACTGCCATTCAGCAACAAGGATATTGAAACTATATGGTTTTCCTATGAAGATGAAGCTTAACATTTTGATGGAGAAAGCTGAAGTACTACTTTTAGAAGACATGGAAGTTATAGAGAATCTTCCTAATGGACTATGTGGATCTGGTTCATTTAGTAAATTAAGTTTGTTAAAAACTGTAAATCAATGATATATCTCTTTTCCTGCAAGAAGTCTTTTGCAACTCCAAGAATTAACTATAAGTGGTTGTGAAATCATGGAGGAAATAGTAAGAGATGACGAGGAAGCCATGGATGCACTTATTATTTTTCACCATTTAAAGAAAATAGAGTTGGAGGATCTACCCAAACTCAGAAGTTTCTATGCCAATGTGAAGAAGTCAACAACTAGGGGGGAATGCAACACGTCCACCCCTGTGCAAGCTTTGTTTAACCGTAAGGTATGCTCAACACTTACCTTATAATTATAATTATAATTATTTTTATTTTATTTTATTTTATTATTTTCCTGACAAGAAGCAAAGAGAACCAAAACAAAAAAAAAACCTAAGACAAAATAAGAATAAATGGCAGAAATAAGCCATGTGGATCAAATCATTCCCAGAACCTATTTAATCTTTCAATTCATTGCTTTAGCCCAACTCATGGCAGTCAATCCTATTTAGGAGTTCTATTCATAATTAATGTCTGTCAACTAAACATTGCTTCCATGACTCCTTTACTCAAATTTCTCAGTCCACGAATCACAAAATCCTATTGATATAATATAACCGTAATTGCATATGATTACATAGAAGCACTTGCACCCAAAACCTAGTTATAATATCTAGTGAATATGATAATAATCTCACACCTGCATTGGAACATTTATATATCTAATCCATTTTTCACGTGTATAATTATATAGTAAACAATTCGAACACAACCTATATGCATTTTCCCACATCAAGAATCCACAATTCACTCAACTAAGGTTTGCACCCTTCATTAACTAATTACTTCCAAAATCCATCAATTAACATTCAAAATCTAGTGCCTTCAAATATACGGAGCAGACTATATAATCACTAAATAAAATTCTTAAAATAACCTATATATAGAATCATTCATAAGTTAGCTAACTAGTTTATCACTCTCATTAATTACTATATAAAGATTAACATTGTAGAAATACATAGTCTCCTTGGATCACCGCAGTTGAAAAGAATAAATAAATAAATAAGATTAGTATCTAAACCTCCACCAATCAATCAGTCACCTTTCAGCAATTCACACTACTTTGTGCAGATATAGGTGTAATATCATTAAACTAAATGCATCTCCAATGACCAAAAGAAATATACATGGACACAAGTGCAGGTATAAAAAGTACATAAATTCATTCATGCTTTAATACAACACATGATCAAGTGCGCTTAATCAAATTCCTAACACTAGGCAATTAATTCTATGATTAATAACAGATTATAGTATATACATGAGATCAAAGCAAGAATGTAATTGTTGCTTTTCTGCGATAAACATATGAAATCCTTGAGATCACAGCGTAGGTAAAAAACTAGATACAACTAAGTCTATATATATATATATATATATATATATATATATATATATATCTAGTGATTGAGTTAAATAACAACTCTTTTAAATTCCAAAATAAACGAAATAAATAACTCTTTTAAATTCCAAAATAAACGAAATAAATAACTCTTTTAAATTCCAAAATAAACTAAATAAATAACTCTACTATCTCCTTTTAAATACAATCACTTATCCAAATTTAAAATAAGGATAATGCCTAAATATTAATATGCGTCCATAAATATATATATATACTATCTCTGTCCCATATTAGTAGGGCTGCAACTTGGGCGGACTAACCCAGCTCAACCCAAGCTCATTCCGAAATTTTGAAATTTGGACTTTAAATTTATAAATCGTGCTCATGTTAAGGTAGGGTTTTGTCAAAACCCAAACATATTCGGGTTGGGCCGGCTCGGGTTCAACCCGAAACCCAAAATTAAAAAAAAAAAAATTAAATTTTTTTTCTCCTTTCTCTCTCCTCTCTCTTCTTTCTCTTTCTCTCTCTTTTTTCTCTTTCTCTTTCTCTCTCCGCCGTCCCCTCTACAGCCATTGCCGTCGCTGTCCCCTCTTACAGACCATGATTAATTGATTTGTAAAACAAGAATTACAATCTTACAGACTTTGATTAATTGATTTAGAAAAAAAAAAAAAAATTAAAACAAAACCCATACATACAATTTAGCAGTTGCACAGAGAGAGAGGGGCAAGCTTGAGAGTTGAGAGACAGCGGCTGAAGCTTGAGAACGGCAAACCCAAACTGGAGCAGTGGGCGATGAAAACTGAAAGATCTGGGTTTTAATTTTTTGAACAATCTGAAATGACATGCCGATCTGGGTTTTGATTTTTTGAACAATCTGAAATGACATGCCGATTTGGGTTTTTATTTTTTGAACAATCTGAAATGATATGCATGTTGTGAGATTTATATGTACCACTCGCAAGTGCACGAATCTTTGCAGATAGGGTTTACTTGTAAGGGTGTCGTACTCAAGGGACTTGTGTAAAATAAGTTTGTCAACATATTTCTTAAATTCCAAAATTAACTTGAAAGTAGGATAATCGAATTGTAATGAATAATTCTAAACTAACTAAGTAGAAAAATAAATTAAAGAACGATGATAAAATATGATGTAGAAAAGAGAGTGAAAACTAGGGGTATGACTTCACCACTAACGTCGCACCACTAGTCAATTGCATCAATTTATTGGAGATATATGATATAACATGCACAGGGAATTAATCATGGCTACAAGTACATATTAATTCAGTTAGAGAATAATATAATTTAAAACTAAGCATGGACTATCTTCGATTGGTATAAACCATCTACCTAACTACTTTATTCTAGGGTGTAGCATGGTCTATCTTTTCTAGACATAATCCCTCAAATCTCTAACATTATATTCATATAAAAATCATGTGTAATCATCTCATTCACAACTACAAGAAGTAAATGAGTTGTGTTCAATTACAAGATTATAATATCTAAGACAAGATATAAACATATTTGTAATCGAATTAAAACTCTAAAACGGATTCTTATTGAAGATTCAATTAAAAACCCTATAAATTACACAATCATGCATGATAAAAATTGTTTCTCCAATAATTAAATACAATCAAACCAGGGTGCTAAGCTAGGGCTACATCACAATCCTAGCAAAGCGTTTAGCCAAGCATGACTGGAGTGGAATTCTTCATGGTTGAGGAAGACATCTTCACTGCCATGGATCGATCTCTTCATTCTTTTGAATGCTTCTCCTCTGATCTCAACCTTAAACACTTCTGTATATCCTTTAATGTTGTAGAGGACCCCCTTTAAATAATAAAAGATCAGCTCTAAAGTTCCCTTTTTCATATAGGAAACATACATAGAAATTCTGTCGAATAAGGACTTCCAAAATTCGTGTAAACTTCTAGGCCAATTTTAACAAGGTAAACAACTGTTTTAGGGAAAGCTCATGAAACACAAAATTGTAACTCTTCGAATTTCCTATCAATTTGTGCGGGAATTTAGCTGTTTTGACGCTTGAGGGGAGAGATACAGCCAGATTACCAAAACGGGTTCAAGTTACCAACTTTGGTGAAAGTTTCCTTTTTGGAGAAGGAGTTTTCTTTTTATTGTTCTTTCCATTCTTATCAACTTGTGACCTCTTTTGA